CAATCATTTCCTGGAAAGTTTCCGTTGCTTCCTCTCTCGTCACACCATATTCCTTCATGTAGCAACTAGTTCCGGTCATGACTCCCCCCTGAAAGAGATTAATCTGTTGCCTTTCTCATTGCTAAACCGTGGAATATATACATGATTACAGGATATCAATTAGGCTACAATTAAGGAAACAAAGATATACATTCCAAACTAATGATACACACTATAAACATAATATATTAAACATATATTCTAACACTCCCCCGCAGTCTTAGCGGGAGGTTCACGTATGCTAAGGTTGTCTCGAAAATCATCGAATAACACCCGCGGGAGACCTTTCGTAAAGATGTTTGCAATCTGATAACGGGATGGAACATGAAGAACTCGTACCTCACCCTTAGCGACCTTTTCACGAACAAAATGAATGTCCATCTCAATGTGTTTGGTGCGTTGATGTTGCACTGGATTACCTGACAAGTAAATAGCACTCACATTGTCACAATAGACGAGGGTAGCTTTCTGAATGGGACAATGTAGCTCAAGTAACAAATTTATGATCCAACAAAAGTCAGAACCCACATTAGCAACCCCTCGATACTCAGCCTCTGCACTAGAGCGTGATAATGTCGGCTGCCTTTTGGAGGACCACGAGATCAGGTTGTCCCCAAGGAAGACACAGTAACCTGAAGTTGATCTTCTTGTGTCTGGGCACCCTCCCTAATCTGTATCGGTGTAAGAAACAAGCTTGCCAATAGAAGATTTATACATATGTAAACCGTAGGACAAAGTACCCTGTAAATAGCGTAAGATACGCTATAGAGCACCCATATGCGCATTGCGCGGATCGTGCATGTGAAGGCACACTTGTTGAACTGCATAAGATATGTCAGGTCTCGTAAAAGTGAGATATTGGAGAGCACCTGCAAGACTCTGATACTTAGTGGGATCCTTATATGGAGCATCATGAGTGGCACTAAGTTTAGATTTTGTGTCAACTGGTGTGTGACATGAGCTACAGTTAGCCATGCCAGCCCTGTCAATGATATCTGCAGTATATTATTTCTGAGACAAAAACATACCATTAGCATTACGAGTCACGAAAATCCCCAAAAAGAAACTCAAAGGACCTAAGTCCTTCATTGCAAATTTAGAACCCAACATAGACATAAAATGCCTCCGCAAGCGATCCGAAGACGCTGTTAGAATGATATCATCAACGTATAACAGTATATAAGCAATATCATAGCCTTGTCTGTAGACAAATAAGGAGTGATCAGATTTACTGTGAATGAACCCAATAGTGGCAACAAATTCTGCAAATCGCTGATACCAGGCCCGAGGAGCCTGTTTTAGGCCATAGAGAGATTTCCTCAATAGACATACATGATCAGGGCGACTTTTGTCGCGAAAACCTATTGGCTGATGCATATAAATTGTTTCGTTGAGATAACCATGTAAGAAAGCATTCTTGACATCCAACTGATGTATGGACCAAGAGTGAGAGAGAGCAATGCTAAGAACAGTACGAATAGTTTTCGGTTTTACAACTGGACTGAAAGTCTCATCACAATCAACACCCTGCTGTTGTGTCTTGCCATCACCTACAAGACAGGCTTTATGCCGCTAAAAAGAACCATCAGATTTTCTTTTATGACGAAAAATCCACATATATCTAATAACATTCACATCTTGGGGCCTTGGTACCAAATCCCATGTATGATTAGCAATAAGAGCATTAAATTCATCTAACATTGCACTGTTCCAATTCGGGTCACGAATAGCACTAACAGGGTCCTTTGGAATAGGGGAGATGTTAGGGGTGGTCATCGTGTTTAGATTGTGAAAGTACTTTGTGTTTGGTTTGATGATACCATTTTTTGCTTGGGTGGTCATTTGGTGAGATGGGGTAGCAGGTTGCCGAGGAGGGTTGTTGGGCGCAGGCTGGTGTGGGGCAGTATGCAGCAAAGATGGGGGCTAATAATTCAATCTAGTCTGTGACATAGGGGGTGAGGAAGGTGGATTGGGCTGCTGGGAGCTCTCAGTTTGGAGTGTGACAGTACCAGGTGAAGAAGAGGGCCTGGAGGAGGGAGATGAGCCAGACTGCTCATGAGTAGCAATGGGCTGCTGTTGAGGAAAAGAGGGTTGGGTGCTTTGCAAATGGTGGAAGTAATTTAAAGGATTTGCATCCAGAAAATCATAGTCATGTGAATGTGGCGTGTGAAGTTTGGAAAAAGGGAATTCATTTTCAACAAATCTAACATGACGACATATTATGATTTTTCCATTTGACATATCATAGCACTTTGAACCTCGATGATTTGGCGCGGGTCCAAGATAGACACAAGGGGTGGACCTTTCTTGCAATTTGTGGATAGAAGTGGAAGGAAACAAAGGAAAACATAGACAACCAAAGACGCGTAAATCCGAGTAGATAGGATCACATTGATATAAAATCTGAGTGGGAGATTTAAAACCTAAGACTTTGGTTGGAAGTATGTTCAGGAGGTATGTGGCCATTTCTAAAGCATGATGCCAAAAAGAGAGGGGCAATGAGGCATGAGCAAGTAAGGTCCGAATGATGTTATTGATTGATTTTATGTGTCGTTCGGCTTTTCCATTTTGAGGAGATGTGTGAGGACATGAGAGACGAAAAATCATGCCATGGTGATCAAAGAAATCTTTAAGAGTTCCATTAATATACTCTGTGCCATTGCCACATTGAAAAGTCTTAATGTTACGTTCAAATTGAGTTCGGACAAGTCTATGAAAGGATATGAATAAGTGTTTAACTTGGGATTTCTTTGTAATAGGAAATGTCCATAAGAATTTGTTGTAATCATCAAGGAATAAGACATAATAACAGTGGCCAAAAGAACTAGCAATGGGAGAAGTCCAGAGATCACTATGAACAATATCAAAAGGAAGAGCAGTAGACGACAAAGAGTCATAAAAAGGTAACTTTGAGTGTTTCCCGAGAGGACATGAGGAACAATAAGTTTTACAAGCCTTATTACAATCAATAAATTTTTTACTAATTAGAGACCTAAGAACAGCAGCACCAGGATGTCCTAAGCGATTATGCCAAAGATCTGAAGAAACAACAGTAAAGGCGGAATGATTGACTGGAGAAGTGGCTTGAGTGTTTGAAAAAATTGGATAAAGGTCACCGGTATTATCACATCTCACTAGTTTGGCTCTCGTCTGTAGATCATTCACAGAAAATCCAAAGGGATCAAATTCAACCGAAACCATATTATCAGTTGTGAACTTACGGACAGATATTAAATTCTTAATTAATTTTGGAGCATACAGCACATTGTTTAAGGTAAATGGAGGGTACGGGGAAGGTAAAGTAGTACTACCGTGACCGACAATTGGAATTAAATGTCCACTACCAACAACAATATTATTATTTTTAATGCTCGAATTGACATAAGATGAAATAATACCTTGGTCCGCTGTCATATGAGATGTAGCTCCAATGTTCATATAATAATTTCCATCCGGTTGAGAAATTGAGAAAGCATGCATAGCCACCTCAATATTCGTAGGTGTGTATGAAGGGGCCATGGCACTATAAGCTTGTGGACGTTGGCCCAGAATACCTGGCCTAGGAGGCCTAGCACCGGAGGGGGGAGCAGTTGGTCTAGGAGCCCACGAAGCTGCTGGATATGGGCAGGGAGGATTGGGTCACTGAGCTAGCCACGGGGTCCAGGATGTCGGCCAAGAATACTAACCCTGATGCTGCCATGTCTGTCCAGAGGCCTGCCCAGATTGCTGTTGGGCTGGCCCATTAGCATTACGACCTTTTCCAGAATTTTTGGCCTTTTTTTGCTTAGTGTTTCTGGAATTCAAACGGGAGCCGTTAGTGTTCTGCTGGGTGGTGGAGGTTGAGACAAGGACCGTCTGTAGGCGGTTGGTGGAACCACCCTCCTTAGCTAGGCGGTTTTTGATGGTCCGCTCAGCCAATTTTAGAGGAGATCGACAACTTTCGAATGAAGGCAAAGGTTCTTGATTTTGAATGAAATCCACCGTCCCGGCATAGGCCTCTGGGAGCCCAGCCGTGAGTTTGAGAATGAGCCAGTTGTTGGGAATCGGAGCATCAACATCAGCGAGACGATCGGCAAGTGATTTGATGTGATTACAATAGCCATCAATTGATGAGAAATTCTCAAAGTCAAGGTCAGCAAGCTCTTGTTCGAGATGAGAGGCTCATGAGGCTTTATTGTCTTGAAACATAGACTCGAGACGAGCCCAAGCACCATGAGCAATGTCATCCTTGAGAAGAATAGCATGAAGAAGATCCGTGGAAATGGTTCCATAGATCCATTGAAGGACTGCAGCGTCCAACCGTTTCCAAAGAGCAAGATCAGCGGCTATAGAGGCTTCATATGCAGCCTTCTCCATCGCCTCCATATGAGGAATAATATGATTATGGAGATCGTGAACCCTAACAAGCACCTTAAAAAGGGCAGCCCAATAGTGATACATTCCATGATCGGCGTCCAACGTGATGGGAACAAGAGACTTAACATTGGTTATAGTCAAAGCCGGATGAAATTTTGATGTTTCAGCCATGGAAAATGTAGTGCAGCGGAAGAAGAAAGAAGAAAGATAGGTAGAGGCAGAAGGGAGGGCCGAATGTTAGGAGAGAAACCAAGAATGGAAACCCTATACTGATACCATGAAAGAGATTAATCTGTTGCCTTTCTCATTACTAAACCGTGGAATATATACATGATTACAGGAGATCAATTAGGCTACAATTAAGGAAACAAAGATATACATTCCAAACTAATGATACACACTATAAACAGAATATATTAAACATATATTCTAACACCCCCTTTTCTTCTGCCTTCCACCATTAACAAAATAGGTCAAGAAAACAAGTATAGAATATCTAAATTTACACTCTTCGATATTAGTTTCTTTTTAAATAGTTTGAGTTGATTATAAAGTAATTTGTTCATTATCATTATTAAATTTACCTCATTAGTATTAATATCATTTTAGAGACAAGCAAATAAGTCGATGGCTTTATAAATTATGTTATCAGTATTTATCAGACGCTGGTATTCATTTTCGTCTGCTTCTTCAATTCCTATGAGGACCTGAGCCATAGTAGCATTGCCTCTAGCTGCTATCATTGCAGATTCTAAAAACTCATGAAAAGTTGGCTGATATCCTTCATGCACCCACCGCGGCTGTTCATAATTAGCTTCCGCTGTTTTCTTGAACTGGACACCGGCAAACTTAACTAGCGGTTGTTAAGAATGTAATTAAAGATGATTGGCGTAAGTTTATTTACTTTACCTCGTTCCTAGTGTGAGAGACGGCGAAGGATCTCCCTTCATTTCTAACCATCTCCTAAACTTCATCATGAACATCTAATATTGTCTTATATAGAAGTTTTAGATAATCTGCTGGAAGTTTATCCATGGCTGTAACATCAAATCTAAAATCACACAACACAATTAGCATATTGTATGTTTGTTTATCAGTGTTCTTCGAGATGAATGAATTACAGATTGTAAATTAGTTAGAAAACTTTATAACTTTTTCATTGCATCAGTGAAACACTGGAGTTCTTCAAAATTACCGTAGGCATCGTACGTATCATCCATCAATATCCATAGTAGTAACAATTTAGTTTACATGTAGCGAGCACGCGCATAACGTGGTTCAAAGTAATACCCAACTGCCGTGAAGTAGGAATCGACAACTCTGTTTCGAATATATGTAAACTTTGATGCCATATTTTCTTCTTTCCACCAGCTGCAACACAAATAACATATCGGAATAACGGGTCATGGTTTGGCTAGTTAAGGTACAAAAAGATTTCATTACCTGCATAGTGCTATTAGTTCCTGTTGATGTAGCATCTGGATCCAGTTAAAATCATATTTAGCAAACTCATGCAGCGTCTTGTTTCTTGATGCATCCATTTCATAAAAGTAGATGAATTTCCTTTCTTCTAGTCTTTGCACGTCTTTGAGGTTGGGATAATTCAGGGCATTTACAATGTATTCAGAAAGATGCGGATCAATTGAATGGCTTGCAATGGACTGCAACTCCGGTTTCGTGAAAGTCAGGGCTTCATCTAAAATAGCATCACCATTTATCCTAAACTGGGTTGCTTCATGTAAGCTAATAATCCCCTTTATATCACTATCTTTAAACTTACCATTCGCATCCTTAAATTTGTTAAAAACATCTGTTTTAAAAACCCAATAATATCGCATAAGTATCCCGAAAAGAAAGATGCCCAATAACATCAGTTTCAAATCCAATATGATACTAGATTACACTTATCGATATGTGTATGTATGCATGCAAATACTAGATTATACTTACCAGAAGACATGTTATAACCATGGAATCTGAAAACTTGAAATACGACTGCAGTTTGTGTAAATCATGGTCAAAGACTTCACCAAGCGTGACAAAATGGTGAGCTAATTGCTTTTCTATTTCATTTTCGAAATGATGAGACACTCCTAAGCGGCATAGGGTATGTATGAGATGCATATTCGCTATTGGATCACTTGCAGTATCCACCAGCATATCCATCACCTTTGCTTTCAACACTTGAACTTGTTTTGAGCATGCTTCAAATTCCTACATACATGAACAAATGGATATTGAGGTTGAATTTGGATTGTCTGAAATTAAACTCTGTAAAATAAATGAACTAAGTGATGTAATATTTATACCGACTTATCAAATGGAAGTGTGAGGAAACGATCACCACATATGTCTGGTGCAAAGTTGGTCAGGGGACGAGCAATTTCCTGCTGGTCACTGTTTGCCGATTTTGTAGAAAGAGCAGCAAAGCAACTCTTGGCGTTGCCTCTAATATTCTTTACGCGCAGGGGGCGAAGGATTGGGTTTGGAGGAGAGAAAGGTTTAGAGAGGCAAAGGATGTTGCTGAAAACACAGACGTGGACTGTCATTCTAATTTGTGAATGCTAAGCAGTAAGCAAAGACTTGGGTGCTAAGTTGATGGCTAGCTGAGGCTACTTATAGAAACCAAGAAGAGTGTCCCTCTAGAGTCTAGAGAAATGTATTAATACATACGTGCATTGAATTTATATTATATGAAATGGGGGGTAAGTTTGAATAAAAAAGCAAAGATCTTAGAAATCCTCTTTTTGTTGAATTTTTTAAGCATCCATCACTTCCGTTCTTGTAATTTAATATTTGTACTGATTATCCAATGTTTTAGTGATTTTGATGATATGTAATGATGATTTCTTTTGAATACTAATATTTACTATTCTTATTGAGCTTTGTTCTTCTTTATCGAAATTGCGACTATACTTGGATTATTTGTTGTTTTATTATTATTATTATTTTGATCATCGTGGAAAATAAAACGTAGGGTTAGAATCCTTGACCTTAAAAAAAATTTAAAATAAATTTAAGAATTAAAAAATATAATTTTTTATCATGATTGGACTTTTTATTCGGATTGATCATGATTGGGCTTTCTTGTACCAAAATGTTGCTTAAGCAGTTAATTATTATGGTGGCTCAATTCCACTCGTCTAGGGCTCCATTATGTTCATGTGTATAATGTTCTAACATTTTTAAACGCTTACACTGTCGGCATGGCAGCATCACCTGGGTTCGTATATGAGCAATCATTTGTCATGAAGAATAAGTCTTTAACTAACACATACCTTCAATACTCACCTACATTTACAAACGCATTCAATATACGTACTCATATGGGCAAAATGGATTAAAAATCTCGGCTTCATGTATAATAATAAATCCTTTATTGCCTCCGTTTTGGTTGGTGGCATTTAACATTTTGCAATGGGGCATAATAACTATGTTTTTTTATAACATTCTAGTAAAATTTTAAAATAATTTTTTTCATAAAACCTAAGTCACCTAACCTACCTATGCAATTCAAGCTAGCATAATTGCACCATGCATGCATTAGCTTGTGTTTCTGGAACGTCACCTTCAAATGGCGTTTTCAACATGGAACCCTCTTTTTAACTCACCGCCGTTTGATCAACCAACTCACTTGAAACCTTCGCTATATAAGAATCCTTAGCTAATTCTAACCACCATACCAGAAACCATTGAATTCTAATGGCTAGCAAAACCAGTTCCTTGTTTGTTGGTTTCCTTTTCGCTGTAGGCATCGTGCTTGCTATTTCCGAGCAAGTGATTGCGGCACGAGACATGCCGAAGAACGATGATCAAATGAAGCATCCTGAGTTTCTGAAACATGACCGCAGCGTGCTCATTCCGGGACTCGGACGAGTGTTGCTGCCACCGGTTTTCAAACATCACCATCCACACAGTACCATCAGTGGTGGTCACACTGGAAGTACTGGCGGAAACTCTGGTGGCACAAGTATCGGTGGAAATAGCCAGATTCCGGGTGGTGATGACACATTCGTTCCAAACCCTGGTTTCGAGGTGCCGATCCCTGGAGGCCGTGGTGCAGCACGTCCTTGAACATGTGCTGGGCTATGGAACTTTGAATCCATCAGAGAATAAAGGCAATCGGTTATCGAGATCGAGTCCCCTTGTTGTCTATATGAATTGGAGTTGGTTGTCATTTTAGTGAAGTCTTAGAGTCTAGTCGTGTTTGCATTTTCCAGTCGGAAACTATTTGTTGCCTAAGTAATAATGTATATCAATTTCCAAATTAATTATTAATCGTGGTGTATTGTGCTTGTTTACGTCTTTCTTATATGTTCACTTAGTTCCTACTGAACAAAAAAAAATACTTAATAGCCTTGATGAAGTATTTTTCGAGAAATAGATTGAGTCTAAATTTATAATATAATTTTCTAAGTTTGCATTCCCTAATATAAAATTTTATATCAATATTTGTTGCAATCTGTCATGCCACTTAGAGAAACAATGATGTGAACTCATCCAAGCCTGGAGTTTCTCACCCTTTTGAGGAAACAGAGTAGTCTTTATCTCAAAATTTGTATAACAACATCTTCAGCCTGCACAACATCAAGCTGGACACAACTAGTAGAACCACCTCCATTTAATCCAATGTATTTTTGGCACCCATTTTATTACTGGTTTCCTAGAGTTCTTAAGGTAATTCTTATCCCCATGCCCTATATATAGAACATTGAGAACAATTTGGAGTTTCCAAGGTTGAAAATGCTGAAGAATTGCATCAATTGTATCAGCCTATCAGGGATTGTCTCCAAAGCTTCAATTTCTGTTCAAACTGTTACGATGATCACGACGATAACAATGAATAGAACAAATAAAATTGAAAACAAAAACATTATAATTTACATGAAAAACACTAGAATAGAAAAACCACAAAGCAGAGAATTTCCTTATGATATTAAAATTATAAGGATTTATAGATATATTGCCTCCCACGGATTCTAAGGTTTTATTATATTCTAATCCTAATCAATATTATCTATTTATTGGCTTAATTACTTGATGGGGAAGAAATATAATATTATAATGAGTGTTCTTTAATTCAAATTTTTGCTTCTAATAAAAAACTAACAAAATGCATATAGTTTTGTGTGCATTAGATGTGTGAAAAGATCAAGAAGGACATAGTTGAAATATAGTATCAATGCTTATTAGACTACAATACAAACCCTAAAACATTCTTTTCAATAACAATTTAATTGGAACGTCGGAATGATTTATAATCCAACGTTCGATGATTTTTTTTAGTTAATCATTGGTATATGATCTATTGATCGACTAATCCATATCATGTACTACAAAGGTGAGAGCGACTCTCCCAACATAGTTTGCTCCATTCGTAAACGTCAGCATTCGAACCTCTGACATTGCTTAACGACTCTAGTATCTCATCCAATTATTTTTGATAGATTTTAGGGTAATTTGTGTATGTAGTCACTTACTTATTTCTATGGTTGCATTTTGATTATCCAATTATTTTTTCTAAAAGCATAATTCCAAAATTAATCCCCAATATTTATCAAAATAATCATTTTATCCCATATTCTTTTTAGAGCATTTTGGTCCAATGTTTTATTTTAAGATATAATGGTCCATAACGTTTGACTAAATAGTCATGTTGACTCTTATTTTTTGGAGCATTTTGATCCCAACGTTTCATTTTAGAGTAAAAAGACATATATTATAGAGCGCTAGTCATTTGTTAAATAATAGTTTCCACTAACAAAGGGGCCTTTTGCCCTAAAATGAAACATTTAAGGCTAAAATACTCCAAAAAAAATATGGGTCAAGATGATTATTTTCATAAATATTGAGGGGCTAATTTTGAATTTATACATTTTTTAAATCATAGCTAACATAACATTTTTGTTCTATTTTGATCAATTACTGTTTAAAATTTAATAATTATATTCATGTGTTATCATAAGAGAATGTCACGTCATCATTAAAAAAATAAAAATTATTACGTTAACAGTTTTGCTTACTTTTTAAGATATAAGACAAAAACATAACTAAAATATAATATTGGATAGAATTTTTGAAAAGAGAATAATTAGATAACCAAAATAAAATCTTAAAAATAGATGAGTACCTAAATATGTAATTTATTCTTAATTTTATGACATCTTTAATTTCAAATTTAGGACGTATAAAATATCAAGTATTGTTTGACTTATTTAAAATTGTGTATCTTGAAACGATGATTCGACATTACTTTATTCAACAGAAGCTTTGGGTTTGCAGCTTGAAACTGTTAAATACAAGAAAACATGTCTACTACACGACAGATTAAGGAAGCAGCGCACTACAGAAGAAAGCTTTTGCAGATTTTTTTAAGCAAAAATATTCATAAAAAGATGAAGCACTCTAAAGAAACCTGAGGGTTCTCGATTGACTCACTGCCCTGTTGCTCCGATACGTCCTTTTTCCCATCTTCCTCTCTCTTACTCTGGCCCTCCACTGTCGCGCTCGCTCTAATACTTGTCTTTTTATCGGTTTTGCCGGTCACCGTCGCGGGAGTCTTCCCGACGGCACCGTGGCTCACCCCACCGGCTCTTCCTGTTCCGGGTGACCTGGACCTGGACCCAACGTTACGTTGCACAGTCCTCGCCGCACTTAATCCCCGTCCTCGACCACGGACACTTTCTCTTCTAGCTCGAACATTGGCAGGGTCTCCATTGGTGGAACCGGGACGTTTTTTTATTGCCTTTGCTGGGGACTTATGTTTGAGTTTGCTGTTGTCTTTACTCGTTGCTTCATCAAGGCATTCGGTTGCTGTCGTAGTCGTAGTTGTTGTTATGGTTTCAGAGACGCTGTAAATCTCTGATTGTTGAGAGATATGATAGGTTTCTTGCTCTTGATCTTCTTGTTGTATTTGCTTGGTCGCATGGGAAACCTGTGTTTCGGTTTTGGGTGGCGGCGGCGGAAGGGGTGGAGGAGTTTGAGTGATATTCTCTTGTTGGTTATCGTGAGGTACTTTGGGTGTTTCTGAAAGCACCAATACTTCTTTTATAACAGCTTCTTCTTCATCTTCTTGAGGAGGAGATGGGGTTTTGTGAGACCGTAGAATGGGAGGTTGGTACGGTGGATGATTGGGTTTGGTGGAGGAGGTGGAGCTGAAGCAGCAGCCCATATTTGGAGATGTAGAGTAGGGAATGGTAGAACTGAAGTAGGTGGGATTTTGATTTATGGTTTGAAAATTAAACGGCTGTGTTCCATCCATACAAGAGATACCTATAGCAGTAGAGAGAGGGAGGAATTTGAAAGGGGAAATGGTGGGCAGCTATCCACAGCAACACCCCAAAACTGCTGACACTCCCACTGCCTGTTGGCTACTTAAGCAAGCAATCCCCTCTCAACTCTCGAGTTGCTAATATTTCTTGGGGTTAATATTTATTAGTTCATAATTTTAACGGTAAAATATACTCTAACCTTTATATTTAATCATTAAGAAATTATTATTATTTCTTAATATTTTAAGTTTAAGCATTATATATATAATAGGTATAAATAATTTCAAATGATTGATAGTTTTTAACATATATTACTTTGTATTAATATCATATTAATAAAAATACAATTTTGTCATTTTAAAATTTTAATAATATTTTCATAATAATTATTTTTTTATATAATAATAGTTTGATATAGGGTAAAGTCAATAAATGGTCACCTAATTATAAGATGTTACTTTGTTGAGTCTTTTAATTATTAAAAGTTATAAAATTGTCACCTAACTATTGGGTATTGCTTTGTTGAGTCCCTCGAATATTAAAAGCTACAAAATGATCACTTGACTATACATATGTTCCAAACTAATCTTTTTTCGTTAAAAATTTGGCTGTCGTCTGAGCTAGATGTTAACCTGCTGATTGAGATATAATAAAATATGATCCTAGAACCATTTGACTTGTATAGTCGTTTGAGATTCTGAGATCAAATTTTATAATATCTCAGTTATTATGTTAACGTTTAGCTCATATTGTCGTCAATTTTTTAATGGGAAATGACGAGTTTGGAACGTATCAATAGTTGGGTGACCATTTTGTAACTTTTAATAAACATGGGACTAAAAAAAAGCAACGTCCTGTAATCAGGGGATTATTTTGTAACGTTTAATAGTTGAGAGACTCAACAAAGTAACCCCTATAGTTACGGGACCATTTGTGCTTTTCCTTTAATAATAAATGTTATTGCTTTATAGCATAACGTTATTATTTAACTGTTGTTTTGATCCGATTAACTCGTTTGATTTAAAAATGTCATTAAAAAAGACTAAATTAATAGATTTTTTTAAAATGAAAAATTAAATTTATTAAATTATTTCGAATAAGAAAAAATTGATAGAATATATAAATTTTAGAGAATAAAATTATTATTGTTTGTAATAATATTTAATTGACATGTTTGTAATTTTTGAAAGAGAAGAATTTTGCAGAAGAATTGTGTCTCCCTGATATTAATTTAAAATATCTGCCCGCACACACAGGGCAGAAGAATTGTGCTTCGTTCTCCGACACAATTGAGAAGTCTATAGAGGAAAAAACGGGCAGATATCTCAGCTGCTTTGTGGTGTTATTGTACCAGAAAAAACCATATTTTAATTTTTCATTTTAAAGTCGAAACTCGTGATGGTAGAAAAAGAGTCAAAATAAGAAGGTAAAGCCGAGTACATCTATGGAGGAAGAGAGTGAAAGTTCAACTCGGCTATTATGAAGATGGAGATCAAAAGAGAGCGTGTATTATCAACCACCACCTTATCATTCCTTGGCTGACCCTAGCAATGTCTATTAAACATCAATGCAGATATCTAAAATTGAATTCATTTCAAGTTTCAAACCAGACAATGAGAACCATGAATACTCAACCAGAGCAACAACAAAAGAACCTACTCCAGACTCAAACTTTGGCATTCCGAATGAAGTCGATGCAGGTTTGGCAATTGCAATCACTGAAACGGCAAATTCCACACCCAAAGCACACACAGGAAGTACAACCCTTGCATGTCGGAGAACGAGGGCAGCCCCTGTATACCCTTCGGCTTGCTCGCTCTTCCTCGATGTTGCATGTTATTCTGAAATGTGAAAATTTGTTAACTATAAGCCAGAGTGTATGTTGCCGACTTGCCATAACATATAGCAAATGATGAGAGTATTCTTAGTCTATAGTTGCGTGCATGAAAATTCAGCTTAGCATCACTTATAACAACTTGAAAGGATTAGTTGGGCTTAAAGTTCTATACACACCCTTAAAATGTTCATATAAAATACTTATAGGAGCATCATGGAATAAAAGTGGGGGACTGTCTAGCTTGGCTTAACTCTTTCAGTTTCTTGTCTGTCCCCTCCATCTTCCGCCGGTTAGTTCAAAAAGAGAGATGGGGTATACAAGGACAAAACTCAAAACAGAGAGAGTAAATTGCAGCTTGGTCAGGCAATCAATACGAAAACCGCGTGTTCTGGTAAATTAGTTAACTTTTATGAACTTGACAAATAAAACCATTTTCAAAATCCCAAAGGCAACAGTCAAACGGACATGAAAAGCAAGAACACTAGGACTAAACCACGTGCAGGGAAATTGAGCTGGTTATTCTAGACCTATGATTTCTTGTTGCACAAGTAAACAATGGCTTGGTGCCAAAAGTCCAAAACTATGCCTCATGTGCAGGACTAGGTTCTTCAACCAAATTTACTTGTTATGGTTCTCAACATCCAATCTAACTGATTTTTAAGTGAATCAAGTGGAATATTGGTGCTTTTAATATTATCAAAGAATATTGATAACTTTTAAGAAGCTGTGAACTCATAGGTTTTACGAGATTATAAATGCTGCTACCCATTTTAATTCAACTAATGCACATTAAGCACAAGGATCAAGTTCATATGGAAGGTCAAAATGATATAAATACACATAACAATTAAGTTCTATAAAGCAAACATCAAAAGGAGTAAAAATGCACTGATCATTAGGTCCTCTAGCCGTCCATGAAACACAGACATACAGAATACAATACCACAAGACATGACACGAACATATAACATGGCATTTTTTTAGGAAAAAACTATTTTTTAATAATAAGTTTTGACTTTAAATATTTTATACAATCAAATAACGAATAATTAAATACTTATGTCAAATACATGCGCGTCTCAAACAGAGATACAAGTACAACACCGATATGCCATGTCCATGACTTCCTTAGTAGCCATAAAAATAATGAAATGCTTTCATGATAGAGAAGAAAAAAAAAAGGGAGTGTTTTGTTTACCTCATGCATTATCTACATATTACATTTTAATTTTTACAATCGGGTATTTAAGGAGTTAAAAAGAAATATTAAGCCCGGAAGCATGCTTTAGAATTACTAATTCCTACAGGCTACAAATGCAATTTTATCAGATAAGAACATAATCAACAATGGGGAGACACACCTGTCATATTGAAGATCAGAACATTTCCAGTTCACATCTGCTGAAGCATCATGGTGAATCCTACATTCCTCTTTCGTCCGCAATCGAAATCTTCTCTCCTTGTCACACCCGGTACAGCGAACAAACTCATCACGATGACAAACTCTTCCATTATGGGATTTATTGATACCATTGGCACTTTTTGATGCTTGATTGTAGTATTTCAGAAATGCAGTCTTTGATAGTGAAACCTTCTCCCCGTTAACCATCAGCCAAACATTATTTTTCCACTTTCTAGCTGTCTCTCTTCCGGAATGCTTCTCAAATGCAGCAGGACTCAACTTGTCTGGTCGTGGTAATCAGCATCCTCACAATTAGGAAGGAAAAGAAAAGGACTTTAACATTTGGTAGGGAAATAAAAAAGTAACTAGGACTGTCAGAATAAGGGGAAAGATGATATCATATGCAGCTAACATTGGATGGCTCTATAATTCTATTAAACAGTGAAGGCAGAGATCACAGTACACTAGAGACAGCTTAAGCCTGTTTGAGTTATATTTAATTGTAAGAACTGATGCTGATAAAGCTGGACTCATGCATTTAAGTTAAAACTTTGATTAGCTCAAAGGTATGTTTTTTTCTCAAACATTTACACTGTAGTCAATACTTGGAACCGGTCATACTCCACAATGGCATGACATTAGAACAGAACAACATGTGCATGAACATCTTATTGTGGTACAAACCAAGGAAAAACCAGTTCACTGAGACAAAGCAACACATGCACAGTAACAAACTGTAAAACAGAAACCAAAACCAAACCACTTCTCACTCTATCAAAAAACTCGATTAAATAAAGAGAAAGCGACAGCTATCAACGTAAAATGCACCGTAGCTTGAATAAAATTTTGCATTAAACACGCACAAAATTCAAAACCCATTTCCCAGCAGAATCAAAGGTAAACAAGTATGGAGAAGGGAAGAAACAAAAGGATGAAGAAAAGGAGAAACCTTCATTGCAACCAGGGGTGCATTCGCATGCGATTTCAAGGTGACCATTAGAGAAAATCCTAAGCTTGCCAACTGCATCGCCATACCTATGGCTAGTACACCCGCATGTCACTTCTACAAAATCCCCTCCTTTCTTCAATCCACTTACCTCCCTCAACTCCTCTTCGCTGAACATCATAGATCCACTTTCTTTCTCTACCCCATTCTCCATTTCTCTCTCTTTCTCTCTCTCTAACAAAAATCCCGACGCTTCCACGCGCACTGTTTCTTAAAGAACCCCAGAAACTTCAAAGAAGAGAAAAATGGATCATATGAATAACGTTGAAGAGAGAAGGAAAATTTATAAGAATAAGAAGACTAAAAACAAAAGAAAAGGGCAGGAATAACAGGCACCTTTATGCTGATTACTGGTGGAGAATAAGTTGGAGAGAGAGAGAGAGAGAGATGAGTTGTCAAACGAAACAAATACCGTGCGTTGAAGGAGAGAGTAAGAGTAAAATTGTGCTAATCGCTTGACATTAAACGAGAAAGAAGACATCTTTGGGGCAACCGCACCTTGGTTAATGGAAAATATTTATGTTTTATTCTAAATTCTATTAAAAATTTATTTTTATTTAAAAATATTAATTTAAAATTTTATTAAAAAGATATAATATATCTCATGTTTTTCTGATAATATTTTTATTTATTTGTATTTAAGGTTGGAAATTCGAAATGACAGCCAAGAATGACCATATAAGACAATTACTTCATATGACAAATAACAAAAGCAATCCATCATTCAATCAAATTCATAAATGTAATGTCATTTCATGACAAAATAAAATGTTAGGTTGATCACAAAGAAACTTTACAGAAAATGCCATTAATGTCAAATGTGATTTATGAAAAACAATGGATTAAGAGCTTAAAGGGTCTGCATCCATTGAACCAGTACTAACTTTTGACTGAATGGTTATGCCTCGTCTTGCCAGCAACGTGCATGGCTACTGCGCAGTGGTCCACACAAGCTCATAGCCCATTGCGTATAAAAAAAAGGGTTTTACCGAGTCAAACTCACTGTCGCGTCTAAAATAATGCATATGAAAACAAATTTAAATTAGGTTCATATCAACAGATTACATCGATCATGCTGCTGATTACAATGATTGCCAACTTTATTTTATTCTTTTGGAACAAGCGAACCATACGAAATCGGCGCCACGCTTTGGCACAATCTGTCCCTGACTTTTGGCACATGGAAAAATGGACTGGGGGTACCTGGTGGTGGTCGACACAGCTACAGCGTTCGCTTGCAGATGTAGAAAGGGCGAGTTTATCCGATCCATCACCACATAAAGACGTCGTGGTTATAATATCGATATTATACTCTTTCAACATTTTACAGGTTTTAAGATACATTTGTTGAGAGGTTTAATTCATTCATTTTGATTTAGACGAAAAATAATTGTTGATATTTCTAACAAGTTAAAAAAGATGATGAACAATATATAATATGTCGTCACAAATTGTAAGGTATTACCCTTACAGCTCTGAAAGGACTAGTTGAAGTTTATCTTGAATGGTTGTTGGGCTACCATTTTGAAAGAGCCATAGTGGAGCTCCCTAGTTCCATATTCGTTTGACATTTTCATAAGTACTTGGGCGAATATTTGGCGGCCACCAACCAAAGCTTTGCTTTGTCTTACATTGAGCTCACTTTTTCGTAGAATCCAAATAGAGGGTGGAATGTTGGAGCCGCTCAAATCGCAGGAACAGGACTCCCGATGATGCCCAATTTGATGATGAGTTGCTAATGTAGACTTAGATTAATGTTTGTTCGAAGATCAACACATCAATTTGTGTCTGAAACCACATTAACTAGGACCCCTTCCCAATTATTTCAGGCCTGATTGTCCAAACCCAAAATTCTGTGTATCTTTTAGGTCACCGATATGATCATAACTTGGAATACTATCCTCTCATTAATGCATTTTACTATGGTCATACTAGGACAAAAAGATATATATATATATATATATATATATATATATATATATATATATATATATATATATATATGGTATCAAAATTTTATTTATTGATTCAATTTGGTACTTGAGATAAAAAATTAAGAATCACTATTTTATTTCAAAGCTTCTAATTTATTTCTTTGTGTCACTTGCCCTAATTCCTTCTTTGCGCGGCTTGCCTTCTTTTTCTTTTATCTTTATTGATTGATGGAGATACCAACATTAGTGTTGATTAACGACAGTCAATATTCATAGTTTTTCTTTATTTTTTATATCGCATGTTTAATTCTCTTATTTTTTTTAGTTTCTAATAATTTTACCTCTATGACACACTTTTTTCTTGTCTTTTGACATGTGTTTAATCTTCTTTATTTGTTATCCTGTTGATTTGTTTTATTTTGGACCATTGAATTGAATTTGGATATGTGTTTGTGTTTGAAGATAGTTTCCTCATAACACTTGACTTTGATTTGCAATTTTCGGTGATATTTCAATAGTTTGATTCTCTGGTGTGGTTTGTTTGCCACAGGGTCGGCCCTGGGCCAAGGCTAAAGGGACGTCCGCCCATGGCTCACAAATTAAAAAATATTATTAGTATAATATTTTCTTTTGTTTTTATAAGAAATTTTAAAAATTGTAAAATAAAATATTTTAAAAAAACTATAAAATAAATTAACGGGGCCATAAATTTATTAAGGTGTCAATTGTAATTATTAAATTTTTTATATTAATGTTAATAAATAGTTCCACTTCTAAAAAAAACTCTAATTAAAAGTTTATTGACACTGGTTTTTTAATTTCACCCCGAGCCAAAAAATAATCAGGATCGATCCTGGTTTGTTGATGCATTCAAATATATTCGTATCTATATTTTTTTTGAATTTTTGGATAGGTTTTTAACCTTTTCATTATATGTTCATTATATGATCTTAGATGATTAGTTTTTTATATCAATGATTATAAGAAGTGTCCTAATTATGTGTTTAATTTATATTTACGGTAAACATTCATTGTAATTTTGGATTTTTCCTATTTTCTTAATAAAACTATCAGCTTCTATTTGCATGAAAAAAAAACAGTACTTGAGATAATTTTATCCAATTAAATATCTTAGACTTGATTTCTTGATTCCAATTGAATTATGTTAGATTTAGATCCGACAGTGACATAGTTAGATGAATTTAAATAATTTTTAAAATTTTACAAAATAAGAATATTTCATTTCAAATTTAATAATTAATTGAACCAAAGAAACTATAAGGATCAAACTGGACTACTAAACCAAGTTTGTAGCTAATTAGCCAAAAAAAATCATAAGTACCAAAATTGAATAAAAAGCCAAGTATGTACCTAATCGGATAAAAAAAAATTATAAGTATCAAATTGAACTAAAAGTCAAGTTGTTACCTAATAACATAAAATATACCGTTTTTTTATGACTGGATCAAATTAGTCGGTTGAATTAAAGAATCGACATCGATTGAATTATTATCGATTAATAAATTGATAATACTCGATTGGGCCTTTGTTGGGTACTACACTTTGGGTTTGTGGTTATTGTCATTACTCTTTCATTCTTTTTAGATATAATATGAAAATAAGAGTTTAAACTATACATTTTTTTATTTATGTGTCTAAATAATTTTTCCGTCCATCTAGATGTTTATCGTTACAAACATATCTTAAATGCCTCGACTGTAATAACATTAAAAAATTACATAATGTAACATGTGTTACATGCTGGTAGTTTAGAAAATTTTCATGTAAAATAAAAATTTACAGGTATAATTTTTCTTTAAAATATCTAAAATTTTTGGAAATCTTTTTTTTGTTGCCCTCCTGACTTCAAGGCTTTGCCTTGAATAATTCGAACTGATCCGCGTAGCACATTTGATTTTGGTGAGTGAAAGTGAGAGTGAGGAGAGGAGAGGGGCACAGAGGGGATTTTGGTGGGCTCCAACAAATATTTTTTTACATACACAAAGATTTGAACTCAAGATCTTGCTTAAACAAGTCACAACAGGAATCAGTAGGTGAAAGTGAGAGTGAGGAGAGGAGAGGGGCACGGAGGGGATTTTTTTATATTAAGTTTTTTTTAATATTCTTTGTATTGTAATTGACACGATGAACATAATATATATTTTTTATTTTGTAATAATTATTTAAATGTGCTTTATTTCAATTTTTTATAATTAAGTTTATCGGAATAATACATTAAGGTGGTGTTTGTTTTTACATAGGTAAAAGGTCTACAGTCTATGGACCACATATGCAGGCATCTGCAGTAGAAGAGGTGGACCAAAAGTCTGCAGTCTGCAAGAAGAAGACTGTTTGTTTTTTAACGTCTGCAGACTGCTAAAATAAACTGAAATATAAATAAATTGATTTTTAAACTTAAAAGAGTTTTCCAATACTGAGATTTAAATAATTTTAGTTTTACAATACTAAAATTTAAATAATTCATACAACTACAATAATAATTTTTTTTAGAAAAACAAACACCACCTTGTTAATTCTATTATAAGTCTCACATAATCACATGTATTATTAGTTTTATAAGTTTTATAGAATAAAATTTATAAATGATCATTAAATTATATGATTTTTTAAATATGCAATTATGTAATACTTTTAATTTTTTTAAATATATATTCATAATTTATTTTTATAATTATATGATATTTTTAGAAAATATTTTTTAATTTATAAAATTATTTTATGATTATTTTTTATTTAATTGGGATTATACTTTAAAATTTTAAAAACATAATTTATAATTTTTTATATTTTAAAATCTTAATTATCAAACAATGAAATCATTTTTTATTAAGCAATGTGGTTTAAATACTTACATTTTGTCTAAAAATTTTAAATATAATTTAAAAATAACAAATCCAAAAAATATTATATTTAAACTTAAATCAAAATAATTAAAATAAATATATATATAAAATAATTTATATGATATAAAATTAAATATCTATAATATAATATTAAAAAAATAATATTTAATTTATTTTAAAAAATATTAAAATTAATATCTATAATATAATATTAAAAAATTAATATTTAATTTATTTAAAAAATTAATATTAAAATTAAAATCAAATATAATATAAAATTAAATATAAAACCTCTTTGAAGAGGTTAAAAGACGTCAGCAGATATAAGGTCACGTCTGTGCTGCGCAGACCACGCGCAGACGTTAGAAGAGCTTATGTCTTCTAAAAAATAAACGGTCTGCGAAGCCCAATGTCTGCGCGTGGTCTGCGCGGCGCAGACATAAGAGCTTTGCAGACCTTACACAGTAAAAACAAACACCACCTAAGTGACCTCAGTAATAAAAAGATAATGTTACTATCTTTATAAATATTGAATTTAAATAAACATTTATGTAAAGTAGACACTTTATCGATTAATCAAAAAATTATAAATATATCTTACTTTAAAACTATTTCAAATTATTAAAAAAATATCAAAATTATTTCAATAGTGACGGCATTACCTAAAAATATTATCATGTGAGGGCGATTTTTTGAAATACAAATCTTTATTCAAATTATATTTATATGAGAAGGATTTCACCAAAACTTATTTATTTCAGTATATAATTTATGCTGATACAGTTAATTTTATCATAGTTCATTAAATATTTTTTAAATTATGTGTTTTTCTAATTATTTTTCCTATAAATCATTTTTTTTATTAATTTGAAGTAAGTACAATATATTATTTGTTCGAATATAACTCTCAATCTTTTAATATTTAATGTGCTCGTACCCCAATATTCTCGATGCTTAAATCAAAATTCTCAAAAAATAACAACAATTTATTTACCAACAAAATCACTTAAATAGATTTATGATATAAACCATTTTTTTACATACTCTTTGTTTGGTGAGTAGGTCGATAGTTGTTGAGAACTGCAATTCACGCGCATTAACTAAGTTTATTTCTTAATTAATTAACATTTATTTCCATATCCTTCTGGCAGTTGTGTGGGTCATTTTCGTTTCGAAGTAGGCGTTTTTCTACCTCTCTTCCTTTACAACTCTCGTGTATTTCAAGTATCCAATAACTTAATGTCTCTCTTAATAAATATACTATTATTTTCTGCTTCTTCATCATCTATTTTCTGGGTTTGGTTAATGAATAGATCTGGAGGCAACATAGCATCAAAAAGCTGAGCTTTATTCACTACTGGCTAAATTTAACTTCTTTATATATATATTTCCTGGTATTGTTTGTGTCGGTTACTGTTTTCCTGCTGAATTTATCCTCCTGCATTTGCTCTGTTATTTTTCCAATTGGTCAGGCCCATGTTTTCTCCATTGATAGTGTCAAAATAATGATCTTTTTGCTTGGAACCTATGTTTTCTCTTGAAGAGAACTTGGTTTCAGATTAAATGTTCCCCATACATTTAACAAGGCGGTTTGGTACTCTTTCCGGTCCTCCCTGTATCTTTTTATTCCTATTTCCTAGTAATATTGGTTGGTTTTTTTGCTTGATTCTTCAACTTTATTGGGTTCTTTAGCTTAATCTAGAGGCCTGGAAAGTTTTTTTTTATTACCGACAATGAGAAAGCTTTATAGGAAACTTGTGTTGATACAAAATCCATTGACAAGTGTGAGGAAAAACGTCAATTTGCACTCTGGAAGGGTGTTTAGTGATAGAAAATGGATTATCCCATTTCTTGCATGCTTACTTGTATCGGTTACTTTGTTTTTCTCCGCCATTTTTTGGTTGAACAATACTCCTTACAGTGGAGATCAGTTGCCATTCGACATTATTTCCTTTGCTAGAGCAGAGGAGTCTAGTGGGTATTTTGTAGAATCGGATTTAAAGAAATCGTTTAACACGAGTGGATATGCAAACATGAAAGCACCTAGACTTGCATATCTTATCTCGGGGACTAAGGGAGATAGTCATAGGATGATGAGGACCTTGCAGGCAGTGTATCACCCCAGGAATCAGTATGTTCTGCATTTGGATCTCGAGGCTCCTCCTCGTGAAAGGCTGGAATTGAGTAATATGGTAAAGATTGATCCGACTTTTCGTGAAGTCGAGAATGTGCGTGTGATGGCACAATCGAACTTGGTAACATACAAAGGTCCCACCATGATTGCCTGTACCCTTCAAGCAATTGCAATACTCTTAAAGGAGAGCTTGGAGTGGGATTGGTTTCTAAACCTGAGTGCCTCTGATTATCCCCTAGTGACTCAAGATGGTTAGTGCTAACACTTTGGCTCTTTTACCTATTCATTATCAAGGCTGTCCCTTGTTATCGTATAAAGTGCTTAGAAAACAATGCCATGCTTGAGTATTAATTTTATCTCTAAATTGACTGTGAACTCTGCTTGCTACCACCTAATCTTATTGGACTTGCTTCAGTCCCTTACAGCATTCGAACAAATTACATGCTTGCTACACTCTTGAGTTTCTTTCATTCTTCTGTGAGAATTTTAGAACTTAAGGTCTAGACTGTGAAAAGGATTTTGAAGAGAATGGATGGCTATAACTTGCGTTTTATTGTTGTGGAGTGTTTTCTGAATCGGTCAGCTAAAATGTTTGTGGTCTTTCTAGCTTGCTTACCGAAGAATATTTGACATGTTTTCTGATTGTGCAGATTTGCTGCATGTTTTCTCCAACTTGTCAAGAGATCTCAATTTCATTGCACATACACAGATTGCTGGTTGGAAGTTGTAAGACTTGTCATGCTACTCTTGAAATATCCCTTTCCTTGTGCCTTAAATGTCATCTGCTTTACATGTGCGTTTACATGCTTTTGCAGGAGCTCGAGAGCAAAACCAATCATTGTTGATCCAGGCCTTTACTTGTCTAAAAAGTCTGACATTGCTTGGACCACTCAACGCCGATCATTGCCCACATCTTTCAAGTTGTATACAGGTTTTTACTCTTATTCCCTTTCCCTTATTTTGAGCACATAATTTCTGTAATTGTTTCTCAAATCATAGGTTGATTGCTTGCTCATCACCACTTTGATTATGTCAACCATGTTATCCTGAAATCTCTAATGGTGCTCTATAGTCATGGACTGATATGGTATCAACATATTAGTGTGCCAAATAAGGATAACTTGTAATAATTTATATTTTAAGCATACGATTTTGGTCACCTTTGTCTTTCACCTGCCTATATCTCCATTCTAAGCTATTTCCGGAGACTAGACTAAAAGTTTGCGAAGCCAATCCTCTTGAAACGTAACCTAAATCTTTAACAATCAATGATTGCTCGATGCTAAGAAATCAGCTTGAACAAGCTGCTTGGGAAATCACCAAGCAGCTAGCTCTCAGGATGCAATTTTAACAACCGTGAGATGGAAACTAGAGCATAGTCAGTGAGCGGAGCAATGTAGGACAGTTATCTTGTTATATGATGTTCTATAATGTATGATAGCAAGTATACTAGACTCCGGTTTTAAGCATTATATCTAAACTCATTGTGAGCAGAACTTGAAGCATGCAATCCTTTATGTATCATTTTGGTCGTGCTGGAGATCAATATGCCATTATAGTCTATACATATTATGTGGTAATAACATACTCCATTGCATCTTGAATTAAAATTGATAAACTTCTGGTTCTTTCTAGAAATAACGAATTTGAGAATGTCCCATATCAAGTTGGCTCCTTTGGTATTTATATCTTTCGGTCTATTAAGCAAGTTTAGATTAACATAAAGAAAGAAAGAAATCATTCTGTCCCTCCAATAATTAAGCTAGCTAGTATCATCAGAAAGCAACTACCAAGATTTGTAAGAATCATATTTTCCTGCAAATGCCCCAAAATTCTTCTCTAGTGTTAGAAGCTTCTGAATAATCAAATATTGTCGTAGGGTTTGTTGGTCAAAGAAAAGGGCAGCAGTCGGCGGCTTAGAATTAAAAAATGGCTGCTAAATGGCATGGGAAAATTATTTTTAGTCACTAGACTTTAGGGTATTTTCAAATATTAGTCCCTAAGCTTCAACTATAAATACCTTATCTCATTTAGCTTCAAAATTATCCCAAAATCATTTCTTTCTCCTAATACTAGAGAGCTTTCTTGTGAGTAGTGAGTGTTTTGTAAACACCTGTAAATTTTCTCTCTTAGTAAAAGATTTGCAACAGTCCGGAGACGTAGGCATAATTGACTGAACTCCGTTATCAATTTCGGGTATTATTTTTCCGCTTTTATTTCGCATTCTCACTATTCTAGTTATAGAGAAATTACTCGTTCTCGATTTATTTCCCAACAACTGGTAATCAGAGCTTTTGGTTGTGAATTTTGTCAATTTTTTTGTGAGATTACTATTCATATGAGTAGTAAATTTCGTGAATAGGAAAAAAAAATTCGGCGATACGAATTTGTCGACGGAGGTGTTCTAATACACGATGGTTCGCAAGAATTGTCAGAACCGATCCAAACAAAGTCAGATTCGAGTGGGAGCGATGGCTGTAGACGAAGGGAAGATGCGGAAAAATCTATATCAACCACTCTCTAGAAAGCATCCAGAGGGCATGAAGAATGAAGATTGGGCTCTTCTCGACAGGCAAGCCCTCGGAGTTATCCGACTGACATTATCTCGCAATGTTGCTTTCAACATAGCAAAGGAAAAGACCACGACGGGTCTTATGGCGACTCTCTCCAGTATGTATGAGAAGTCATCGGCCTCAAACAAAGTTCATTTGATGAGGCGATTATTCAATTTGTGGATGGCGGAAAGGGCATCAGTGGCTCAACACCTAAATGAACTCAACACAATCACAACCCAGTTGAGTTACGTAGAAATTGAATTCGACGATAAAGTTTGAGCTTTAATTCTCTTATCATCTCTACTAGACAGTTGGAATGCTACTGTTATAACAGTTAGCAGCTCGTCGAGAAAAAGTAAATTGAAATTCGACGATGTTCGGGATCTGGTATTGAGCGAAGAAATTTGACGGAGAGAATCGGGTGAAGCATCAACCTCCTCAGCCTTGCACACGGAGTCTAGAGGGAGAATTTCAGAAAGAAATTTAAATCGTGGCAGATCGAAATCCAGACAGTGAAAATCCAGAATGGGAAAGAAAGATTTTACCTGTTATAATTGTGGCAAGAAGGGTCACTTTAAAAGAGATTATCGAGCACTGAATAAAGATATCGGCGCACAGGAATTTGCCAACATGACAGAGGAGACAGGTGATGCCATGATTCTAAGCGTCAACAGTCTGATTAAATCATGGATCTTAGATTCAGGGGCATCTTTCCACTCTACCCCATGCTAAGAAATCATAGAGAACTATGTCAGTGGTGATTTTGGGAAGGTTCATCTAGCTGATGATGAAACCTTGAAGATTGTCGAAAAAGGAGACATCCGATTAAAACTGCCAAACCAGACCACCTGGAAGCTGACAGGAGTGATACATATTCCTGCCTTAAAAGAAATTTGATTTTTGTAGGACAGCTTGATGGAGAAGGATATAGTACAACTTTTTCAGGCTGTGAATGGAAGATTACCAAAGGAGCACTCGTCATTCTCGTGGTAAGAAGAGTGGTACTCTCTATGTAACCTCAAATTTAGAGAATATTATTGCAGTAGCAGATGCTGATGGAAAATCAAACATATGGCACCAATGGCTTGGCCATATGAGCGAGAAAGGGATGAATACACTTTTGTCAAAAGGGAAGCTGCCGGATCTAAAGAATGTAGATGCCGGACTATGCGAGGATTGTATCTTTGGCAAATAAAAGAAAGTCAATTTTGCAAAGATTGGTAAGACACCCAAGGCATAAAAGTTAGAGTTGGTTCATACTGATGTATGGAGACCATCTCTAGTTCCATCTCTTGCAGGCTCACTAAATTATGTCACATTCATTGATGATTCAACAACGAATGTGTGAGTTTATTATCTGAAGAAGAAATTAGAAGTCTTTGATACCTTCAGAAAATGGAAGGCCATGGTGGAAAATGAGACTGGTTTGAAAGTTAAGCGGTTGAGGTCTGATAATGGAGGAGAGTACAGAAATAATAGATTCAGAGATTTATGCGCAAACAATGGGATCAAGATGAAGACAATAATTCCCATGACACCGCAACAGAATGGCGTAGCAGAGCGCATGAACAAAACTCTGAATGAACGTGCCAGAAGCATGAGGATACATGTCAGATTGCCCAAATTGCTATGGGCTGAAGCTATCAACACTGCAGCTTACCTGATCAACGGTGGGCCCTCAGTTCCCTTGGATGGTGGAATACTAGAGGAAGCTTGGAGCAAGAAAGAAATAAACCTTTCACACTTAAGAGTGTTTGGTTGTATTTCTTATGTACACATAAATTCTGCTGAAAGAAGTAAACTTGATGCCAAGTCCAAAAATGTGTCTTTGTTGGTTATGGTGGTGATGAGTTTGATTACCAGTTTTGGGACTACGAAAATCGAAAGATCATCAGAAGCAGAGATGTCATTTTCAATGAGAATGTGATGTACAAAGAAAGGTCAACCATAGAATCAAGTAGTTCCAATACCGAAGCTGAAACAAAGGAATTTGTTGAGTTCGAGGAGATTTCTGGAAAGAATGTTCAGATCAGTCCAGAAGCAGTTCAAGAAGAACCAGGCACTCTAGAACTAAGACGTTCCTCTAGAATTCTTAAACCAACCCAGCGTTATTCGCCTTATTTGCACTACTTGTTGCTGACTAACAATGATGAACCAGAGTGCTATAATGAAGCAATGCAGGTGGAGGATTCAGCCAAGTGAGAGTCTTCCATGAAAGATGGGATGGACTCACTTATGTCAAATTAGACATGCGAATTAGCTGAATTACCACCAAGCAAGAAAACGCTCCATAACAAGTGGATTTACAGGATCAAAGAAGAGCACGATGGAAGGAAACGCTACAAAGCAAGATTGGTTGTCAAAGGTTTTCAGCAAAAAAAAGGTATTGACTACAATGAAATTTTCTCTCCAGTCGTGAAGTTGTCTATAATCAGAATAGTGTTGAAAATTGTAGCTGCAGAGAATCTACATCTTGAGCAGTTAGATGTGAAGAAAGCTTTCCTTCATGGTGATTTGGAGGAAGAAATATATATGAGGCAGCCAGAAGGCTTCATAGAGGCAAGCAAGAAAAACCTGGTATGCAGGTTGAAGAATAGCTTGTATGGTTTAAAACAAGCTCCTAGACAGTGGTACAAGAAGTTCGATAGCTTCATGAGTAGCAGTGGTTTTACCAGATGTCCAGCATATCATTGTTGTTACATCAAGAGGTTCGATAACAACTTCATTATTTTATTATTGTACGTTGATGACATGCTCGTTGCAGGCTCAGACATGCAAGAGATTATACACTTGAAGCAAAAATTGTCGAAGCAGTTTACTATGAAGGATATGGGCGCTGCAAAGTAGATTCTTGGGATGAGTATTAAGAGAGACACAAAGTCGAGGACTTTGATGTTATCACAGGCTGAGTACATCAACAAGGTACTCTCCAGGTTCAACATGCAAGATGTTAAACCAGTAAGTACACCTTTAGGTGTTCATTTTAGACTCTCCAAAGAACAGTCACCAAAGACGGAGGAAGAATGTGCACACATGGTGAAAGTGTTGTATGCCTCAGCAATTAGAAGTCTGATGTATGCCATGGTTTGTACTAGACCAGATATTGCTCATGCAGTGGGAGCTGTTAGCAAGTACATCAATAATTCGGGCAAGGTACACTGGGAAGCAGTCAAACGGATCCTCATATATCTGCGGGGTACTACAAACAAAGCACTTTGTTTCAAAGGTGGAGATACGATACTGACAAGCTATGTAGATGCTGACTTAGCCGAAAATGTTGACATCAGAATGAGCACTACATGATATGTCTATACTCTAGGAGGTACTGCATTCAGTTGAGTTTCTCAACTACAGAAAATAGTTGCTCTCCACAACCGAAGCAGAATATGTCGCTGTTACGGAAGCCAGCAAGGAGATGGTTTGGCTCCAAAGTTTATTGGAAGAGTTAGGCAAGAAAAAGAAAACAATGTCTTGTATTGCGACAGTCAAAGTGCTATCCATCTAGCGAAGAATTCTTCTTTTCATTCCAGGACGAAACACATACAATTGCGATATCATTTTATTCGTTCTCTTCTATAAGATGGGATTTTGAAACTTGAAAAGATTAGTGGAGCTCAAAATCCGACAGACATATTGACAAAGACGGTGACCACAAACAAACTGAAGTTGTGTTCAGCTTCAGTTGGCATGCTAGAATAAAAGACCAGAAATACTACCCTAGCTCATTTAGCTTCAAAATCATCCCAAAATCATTTCTTTCTCCCAATACTAGAAAGCTTTATTGTGAGTAGTGAGTGTTTTGTAAACATCTGTAAATTTTCTCTCTTAGTAAAAGATCTGCAGCAGTCCGGAGGCGTAGGCATAATTGACTGAATTCAGTTATCAATTTCGGGTATTATTTTTCCGCTTTTATTTCGCATTATCACTAATCTGGTTATCTGGAAATTACTCGTTCTCGGTTTATTTCTCAACAAGGTTCCCATAAGCTCGCTAGTTGTGTTTCTCGGGAATTCTGAATGCCTGGTTTTAAGATCAATTTCGTTTTTGCCTTTGTGGCCTGTTGTATGAAATTTTCTCGTCTCTGTGAATGAATAAAAAAATTGTCTTGGTGTTGCTTAGCTTTGCTTGATCTGCAGGTTATGCATGGGTAGCACTTACTAGAACTTTTGTTGAGTATTGTATATGGGGGTGGGATAACCATCCACGGACCATCCTTATGTACTATACAAATTTCGTTTCCTCTCCGGAAGGCTATTTTCATACCGTTATTTGCAACACCGACGAGTTTCGTGGCACTGGAAAAAGTCATGATCTCCACTACATTGCTTGGGACACTCCTCCAAAGCAACACCCAAAATCCTTGCCAATGAAAGACTTCGACAAAATGGTGAAAAGAAACGCTCCCTTTGCCCGGAAGTTCCACAAGAACGATCCAGTGTTGGATAAAATTGATAAAGAGCTTTTGGGCCGCACTGACCATTTTGCTCCTGGAGCTTGGTGTATTGGGAGTTCAGAGGGTGGAGCCGACCCATGTTCCATACGCGGCAATGATTTTGTGTTTGCACCAGGACCTGGTGCCAAGAGGCTGCAAGAACTTGTTAAAGGTCTGCTATCCGAAGATTTTCGGAAAAAAGTGTTCATGATAATTGTAAAGTGTTGGAGAATTCCAAGTGACTGTATTCATACCTTATTAATCACATATCTATAAAGAATCAATTTTCACAGTTTCGTAAAAACAACAAACTTAAAATCGAAGTTACCAACTATGTGCATTGTTTTTTTCTGTGTTCTTAATTATGTTTGATGAAAATTGTAACAAGATAATAACAACGAGAACGACACCAACAACAATGGCAATGCAACTCCATTTCCTCGAGCTTTTCTGATATTCCTCAGCTACCTCCAGCTGCTCAGCCCCTTTCATTACAAGTGAACTTGCACGAGCGATGTGGCTCTCGATGTCATTCAGTTGGTGGCCCTGTGCCTCCACTAGGACCGCCATGTCCAGGAATAGTTGATGAAGCTCGACCAACCCCTTTACTATTTCCTGCATGGCATCGTGCCTCTCTTGTATCTCTGAAATTGTATCCAGAATCTGCCCTAGCCCTTGTTCTTGAATTGCCTGTTGCAAGAACGTTTCACTTTCTCTGCTTTCAATCAGTTTTTCGATCATTTCTTCATCTGCTTTCTGTCCAGTTACTGTAAAGTATCCTCTCTCTACGGTATCTTTCTATTCTTCTGTCATTCTTGCTCTTAAACCCTGAAAATCATCCATCATAGCCTTTAGTTTACTGCCTAAGCCACTAACAACAGATGTCCTGGTTCGAGAAGCCGATATTCCAGGACCGCAGCCCGGAAGTTTCTGATGAGCTGCATTTGACTTTTCAAGTGCTTCAAGTTTGCCCTTAATGACTTTGACCCGTTTTAAGACCTGCTCGACATCCAAGTCCATTTGGGCTCGAAGATCCTTCACGGCTTTAGCACTCTGAGCAGCTTTGGTCTCTTCATTCGATTGTTGCAACCTGTTGTACACCTGCTCAACCACTCTCATATCATCCTTCACATTGTCTACATCTTCGAAGAACTCATCAAGGTTCACCACCTCGTTCCCGGCCTCCAAGTCATCCAAGTGAACTTGTTGCTTGAGATCTGAATATCTCTTGAATGAAATAGAGAACAGGTCATTCATTTCTTCAGCCTTGATGGGATCGATGAACTTTCCTCCCTGGATCTGCTGTTCCTGCTATAAGCTAAGTTCTAAGGAGAAAACGGAGACTAAAAAGCAAGCCTTTCATCAATGGAGGCGCACTAAGGTACACGTTTTTGTAGAGCACTAATTATTTAAAATTTCAGCTTTTGCGACCAACCAAATCAACATGGATAGGGTAGTTATTATATTCTTAGTCTTGGCTTCTTCCTGATTGATAACTAGGTCAATGTATCTGCAATTAACAGGCTAGCAACAATACATAAATAAAACATTTGCATAAAAAAGAAAAAAAATTGTGGTAATTATTTTAAACCATATAAATTTGTTCTTTTTGCACCGATTTGTAGAAGTTTGTGAATGAAAAAAGAAATATTTCTTATGGTACTTATTGTATCTGCCTTAGCTGTGAATTCAGTTCAATAATATAGCACATTAAGCTCCTCTCCTGAATCTGAAAGATTTAACATCAAATGATGATCATCATATTCAGTTTCTGAATAATAAAATCTACAAAAGTATATATGGTTATACGATGGTGTTATGTCACGATTTTTCGACTTATTCGATCGTCTCATAGTTTTACTTCTAGGATAGAAATCATCCTGAAAAGTTCAATGCACTCCTCTAGCAATAGCTTTTCCTGTGCAACCACCTCTGCTAGTTCAGAAACTAATGACACGGTCTTCTCAATCTTAGACACCATTGGCAGGGTAGGTGTCATTTAAAAAGCTACACAGATTACTAGTTTAGCGTATATAAAAATGTGAAAATCTCCATACCCCCGGTGAGGAAGCAGTTAGCATCGTCTTGATGGATGCAGTGAGTTCGGATGCATGTCGAAGTGCCATCGAAGCTGATTGTGCGTCGACCTCTGCTCCTTCCACAAGAGGCACTTTGCAAACAACAGCATGCAAACATTCTTTAGTCATGGAAATGGCTGATGAGTGTTGCCTTTCCATATCTGCCCAGGATTCCAATGCCTTCATCTGCAGATATGGTTAACAAATTCTATTTAGAACATAATTATATAAACATTCCATTGTAAGTATGATTAAAGAGGCACTGACTTGAGATTTATAAAGTCCAACTTGATCTCAAGCTTTTCCTTTTGAAGCTTTAATTTCTTTTGTACCACTGATTGTTGCCGTTTCATAACACTATTCCACCCATATAACAGAGAGCTCTGCAATAAGTTTTAGCTGATGTGTGTGGTAACAACAAGACATACATGCACACATACCTGAACTTGATTGTTTATGTTCCTATTCACAGCATCTGCTTTAGCGTTTGCATACAGCCATTGAATCAAACCATTATGGATCAATCTTAGTTGATGGGCACTTTCAACATCACCCAAACCCGATTGCAGAGATGATGACTTCTTACTCTTGAACAAACCCATTAATCCCAGATTCAAGAATTTCTCAACACCTTTGCTCCTAGAAAGACTAGTAGGTGGTTTCAAGTTCGAAAACGGCATCAGTTTGGCCTTGTTTTCAACCGACATGGTAGGTGACCTGATGGCCCTGGTGACAACGCCCACTCTGACGTTGAAGCACCTTGTGAATTAATCCTCCGTATGACATTTTTAATGGCGAACTTTTTATTCATCTTAGGAGAACTATCAGCTGACACCGGATGGAGATTACTTGAATCCCAAGTAATTCCTCTCGATCTATTCCTCGTTGCCACCTCTTTCAAATACTTCGAATAACTTCTATCCCAGATTTTCTCGAACTCTGCGAAGAATTAGTTATGGTTAAAGCTGGAGAATCAATTTTCGAGGCCTAACATTGATCACTAATCTCCCCTTCAGAATCAACAACACAATTATCAGTCAAAAAATCCGGTTTCCTCTGAGACGACGAGATTTTTTATAAAGAGCATTCTCGTCCACTGAAAATCTCCCGGGCACAATATTCGGAGAAGAAGACGACGATGTCGACGAAGATGAAGATGAGAACGATTTTCTCGAAAAACCCAGTTTGACTCGCACTAACTTCCTTGTCATTCTCAATAAACCTACTGAACTCTGTATGACTCGTTTGTTTGGTGAGTGAAAAGTGTTGGGGATTTGATCTTTTCTCGTAGCTTTTCCGCTCGATGAAATCTTTTAGCCTCTCGTTTCCAAGATAATCGGCCAAAGTATCAAGCTTTTTCGAGTTTGATGAAGAAGAAGAGTTAGTAGTGGCGGTGGAAGAAGGCCAAAGGCCTCCAACTAAGCCACCGGAAGGATCATCAAGGCTGCGGTGCTGCTTTCTGGTATCCACGGAGGTGGATTTGCGGCGGAGAGGGGATAAAGCTTTGTTCGGGGAGTGGTGACCGGAATCATGTGTGGGCGTCGAGGAAGGCGAAGAAAGGAACCGAGAGGCAACCTCACGGGACTCGGATCGTCGGGCTTAACGGATTGCTCCGATATGGGTGGTTGTTCATGGTTTTGGGAACTGCTGGGATTGATTAGAGAGAATCTGGGAATCGATGTTGTATGTTTTGAGATGGAAAAAGATGAGAAGAAAAACAAACATTTGAACGTGGCGGCAAAGTAGATAAGTGATTTGAGATTATATTAAGATTATGTTTAGAGTTAGGCCGGAGAGTGACAATGGATTCTTTTATCATCTCCTTTAATCATCACCGTTGGAGTTTTTGAAAAAATCAACAATTTTTAACTCAAAACCATTTGCCGTTAACAGACAAGAGTTGCCTAATTAGAGTGTCTATTTTAAATCATTTTTTGAAAAGTTTTAATTATCTATTTACAACATCGATATCATATTAATAAAAAATTATTAGTTTAATAATTAATTTGAGTGTTAAATATTAATATTAATATTAATATAAATGCATCATGTTTAAAATAGACGCGGAACATAACGGGATTATAGAGGCTTATCCCTCCTCAATTTTGAAAAATTAATTTTTAGTTTTTCAAATATATGCAAAATCTAGTAATACTATATAAAGTTTAGGGTAAAGTATAATAATAGTCACTGAATTTTCAGACACTTACATTTAGATCCCCCAACTTTTAAAACTTGCAATGCAGTCCTCAATTTCATTATAAACCTCAAATTCCATTTCGATCTCGAATTTCCTTCTTCACTTTTCTCTTCTAATTCCCAGCACAACTAAGTTTTGTTAGCAATGCAGAGTTGACAAATACTACTAAGATAAACTAAGTATCATTATTAAAAGTCACCAACAAAGCTAGAATTATTTTGTATAAATGATATATAATAATTTCTTCGTTTAATCCTTGTGGTTAAAGATTTTCCAATAGATTATCAAATATAATGAAATCCCAAACAGAGCATTCACCTCTCAGTCCCTTTCGCAATTCGAAAGGGATTATGACAGGGTCAAGTAGCTACTTCAAACATACTACCCTGTCATAATGTCTTTCCAGTTGCGTGCATGCAAAATTGTCTTCTAAAACTATAATCAATACAATTCAACTATAAATTTTCCGAAGCATGTAAAAAATCCAATTCGTTCACGATATATCCGTCCCATAATCAACATGAACTTATTAAAAAGAATACGAGCTCACAGGATGCCGAAAACCACAGGTCGGATCAATACAATTCCCAGTAAATTGGTACCAGCAATATCTAGGATTGAGCCTGGCGATTTCACTATGTCGATACTCACAACCAATTCTATGATTTAAAGAAAAACCAAACAAGAAGATTAAAAAAAATAGCCTAAGACCCTATTTCACTTTTATTCGAATAGACTGAATATCTTCATAAAGAGTACTAAAAGTTTTGATTAAGAAGAAAGAAAGAAAATTAGATGGTTTTGGTTCAAAACTAACACTGAATATCCAGATCATTGACATGCAGTTCCAGGAAAATAAAAATTTCAACAAAAAACACACAAAGCTGAAAAATGGGAAAGTGCGAAAGAGGAAAAGCTTACTTCCGAATAGCCCAAAAGAGAAAATAAATACCTTCTTGCAAGTGAGGGGAGAGGTCGGTGTTCCGTTCCAACAATTCTTCTTCCATTTTTTCTTTGTAAATAAAAAGCTGAAAGACAGAGCACTGCTTGGGTTTACAATTTACATAGCGAAAAATTGGAGAACAAAAACCAAACGAGAGTGTATGTGAGTGAAAGAGACTGACAGGTGAATGGACTGTTTGGGATTTCATTATATTTGATCATCTGTTGGAAAATCTTTAACCACAAGGATTAAACGAAGAAATTATTATATGTCATTTATACAAAATAATTCCAGTTTTGTTGGTCACTTTCAACAATGATACTTAGTTCATCTTAGTAGTATTTGTCAACTCTGCATTTCTAACCCCATTTTTTTCTCACAATCATTTCATCGAACATATACGCTTCACCTGAGATGACTTGTATCTAATATTACACCTTGAATCATTGATGGTCCCGATAGTCCCTTGGTCGGGTCTTTTCTCAATGGACCCTTATTCAAGTCAACGCCTCCACATAATTCAAAGTTAGATTAGAATTTCTCATGCATCCCCAACTGAAAAGTTACGCAGGAAATGAGAAGAGAGAAGCGAAAAAGGAAATTTGAGATTGAAAAGGAATTTGGGGTTTAGAATGAAATTGAGGAATATGTTGCAAGTTTTAAAAGTTGAGGGACCTAAATGCAAGCGCCTAACAAGTTCAGTGACCATATTGCAAACGTACTAAAGGTAGTGTAACGTCGGGGACCATATTGCAAACGGACTAAATGTTGGGGGACTGTATTGCAAGTTTTAAAAGTTGGGAGACTTAAATTAAAACTTTAGAAAAGTTCAGTGAATATTACTATACTTTACGCTAAAGTTTAATATAAATACAAATTAACAAATTTAACAAAAATGATTAAAATAACGTGTGAATCAATTTCAACGTCTAAATTCAAAATAACAATCCAAGCATACACCCAACTAACATATTACAATCAAATTAACAATTCACATATACATCAAACTAACATATTGAGTCGAGTTACTTGCGAACTTATTGAGTTGAGTTGGACATTACTCGACTTAAGTCGTTAAGATCTCAAGTTGAGTTTAATTTTGAATTGAGTAAACTCAAAATCAAATATTGATTAAAATTTTAATCGAGCCTAACTTGAACTATTCAACTCAATTAGCACACTAAAAGTAAAGTATTGTTTCAATTAAATAATTTCATCAATCTAATTATTAATTCATACATGTTTAAAAAGAAACCACATCATATCAAAGCTGACGAAATCTGAGTCACTTCATTACAGAAATGACGTTATTAGCAAAATTAGAACATTAAATCTTCATTTCTCAACGTAAAAACTAATGAAAGGATAAAAATATTGTCCATGTTTGAAAAGTTTTTAGTTTCGTCGCATCATGTATAGGATGACAGACGGGTATAATTTCGTGGATTCTGCACCGTACTGATTTCAATTGGAGTAGGGATGGGTATAATTTTAGTGGGTAGTGGGCGGGTGTGGATTTAGAAAGTGGTATCCGTCGCGAGTAGTGGGCGGGTGATGGGTTTGAGACCTTACCCGCCCCACATCCGCCCGTCCACTAAATACCCATTAAATTTTGGATCATTATGAATTTAGGTATAATTTTAGAAACTAATTTATAAATCTTAATATTGCATAAGATATAACTTATAATTTAATCATATATTAAGTATAATTTTAGAGACTAATATTATGCTTCTTAATGGACATGTTTGTTTTATGTTTGTTGCTTATGTATACCTTAATGTTGCTGTCAGGCAGGTCTAGCCGAATACATCTTTAGTTGGGTAGTGAGTGTGGGGATTGATTTGAGAATGTACCCGTGTGGGTGTGTGTGGATTTGAAAAAATTTTACCCATCATGGGTGGTAGATTTAAAAATATTAGGTGGGTATGTGAATAGAGGAGGGGATATCCGCACCCGACCCACCCGTTTGCCATCCCTAATCATGTATGAATTATCAATTATACTTTATCTGGGCCGAAAAGCCCAAAAATAGAAGTTGTGGGTCTAAAAGTTTTAGCACCAAATCGCAGCAGAACTAGATCCAGTGAGATCGAACCCCCAAATAAAGGTTTAGGGTTTTTAACTTCATATCTAGGGTTTCTAAAGAAGACTTTCTCTTTATAAATGATTCGAGCTCGCCTCTTCCCCTCACATTTTTAACTTACAAGCAGTTCCCAAAGACAAGTCCTTTGTTTCATCATCTTGTTTTATCAGCTCAATTTTTTCGAATTCGTTTAATTAAAAGTTGTAAGCATTCAAGTAATCGTTTTTGAACCTGTTTGTTTTCTTTTTTCATCTGCACGAACTCTCCCGGGCTTTTCTGAATCTCTATCTATGAAGATCAAAGCCCCAATGTTGGTGCTAAATCCACGCCGTTTCACGTGTTGCGGAATTGCTTTCGCTTATCGACCGGCTCTTCTGTGTCTAATCGGCGGCTAAATCTCCCATCTTGTTTTTGCCTTACTGGACCTTTAGCTTGTTTTCGACGAATCCACCGGAAATTAAGTTAGTCATCGAGGCGTATATTTGATTTTGTGGGGACATTTCCTTTAATGATATATTCTCTAAAATCATCCGCTAATATATTTTTTCATTTGATTTGGTTTGATTTTTCAAGTTGGTTTTGGCGATGATTAAGTTTGTTTTATCCGCGCTTCTGAGAGCAATCCATGAAGCATATCGATGGTAAAAATGGTTGAATTTCTTGATATGAGCCAAACCAAAACATTTTTTAATTAGAAAATATTATTTTATATTTAATTTTTGCAATTTAATTATGTTTTTGGCTATGATGATTTACAATACAGCTTAATATGCCAGTTCTGCTTCAGAGAATTCTTGATTGAGAAGCTGATTTAACTTCTGAGCCTAACTTTTACATAATTTAATTTAATTATATTGTTTTTTAATTGATTTGAATCAGTCTATGATGATTTATCCTATTGTTTGAGATGTAGATTCCCTCGAGCCCTGATTATCAGGGAACATACTTGGGGTGCTTCATCTTTCATGAAACTACTGGATCTTCTTGAGACTTCATTAAAATTAATAATCATTTTTAATCCTTTATTAATACATAATTTTTTTTGATAAATTTGCAATATATTGTTTTAGTGGGACAATGATGATATAATATACTTTTGGATGAGGTGCTGTGGAGCCAAGAATGAACCTACTTGGTAGAAGCCGTGATTATATGATATTGATGGATTTAGCTGATGTTTTCATGTATTGTTCATGAATTTTTCACTTAGATGAGCTTTTATTGTTTGATTTTGATTGAGTTTAACTATACTCTGAACCTCTTACTATTTAAATGTGGTTTAGGGTCTGGAAAACTCGTGCAGTTATGTGCTGTTATCAGCTTCTTCTCTTGCATCTTCGCGAGGATGGAGTTAAATAACGGCACTAAGTTATTCTTCTGTTAATTGTTCCGGTGGAGCCTGTTGAGGAAGGATTTTGTACTAATGATAAATCCGAATTATTTTGATGTTAATTCCAAGTAACTGGAAAAAGGAAAGTCTAGAGAAATGAACGATCTCCGAACAGTGATGTTCGTTGGTTAAATAGGATTGTGGCTTCCTCAAGTCATGTTTTCTTACTTGCCAAACAATAAATCTCCTTCCATATTTTTCAGAATATGCAAATATACTTGGTGTATATAAACGCATTTACTTGGTGGTAAACGTGCAAATTTGTTATAATTTTGTTGTATTTTTAATATGGTTATTCAATAATTTTGATATTTACTTGGATCGACGGTGCTTGATGGGTTTCTCCGATATGGGTGGTTCACTGGCGTTGTTAATGTTTTTGGGAACTTCTGGAATTGATTACAGTGAAACTGGGAATCTATGTTTGTTTTGAGAAAAAATTTACAAGAAAAAAACATTTGAATTTTTGTCCCGCGAGTGACAATGTATTCATCCACACAATCTATATAAATGATTCAAGCTCGCCTTTTCTTTTCACTCCCTCAACTTGTCCTTCCGAAACTGTTTATTCTTTTTATCTGTACGAACTCTCCCAGGCTTTTCTGAATCTCTATTTATGAAGATCAAAGCCCCAATGTTGCTAGATTCATGCCGTTTCACGTGTTGCGGAATAGCTTTCGCTTATTGACCGGCTCTTCTGTGTCAATTCGGCGGCTAAATCTCCATTTTTTTTGCCTCACTACACCTTTAGCTTCTTTTCAAAGAATCGTCCGGAATCCAGGCTAGTCATCGAGGTGTATATTCGATCTGGAGGTATTAAACTTGAGGGCATTTTCTTGAATGATTTCTCCTCAAAAAATCATCAGTTATACCTTTCTTCTTTTGGTTTTTCAAGATGGTCTTGGCGATGATCAAGTTTGTTTTATCCGCGCTTCTGAGAGCAATCCATGAAGCATGTTTACGATAAAAATGGTTGAATTTGTTGTTGATATGAGCCAGTTCAAAACAATTTTTTAAATTTGAAAATGAAATTTTGTTTTTAAATAGTAGAATACTGTTGTTGTTTTTTGGCTATGAAGATTTGCAATTCAGCTTAATATGCCAGTTCTGCTTCAGAGAATTCTTGATTGAGAAGCTCGTGAGGCTCCATTTTACATTGTCCTTTTTTGTTTTGGTTTGAAGCAGTCAATGATGATTTCTCCGTTTGTTTGAGATGTATATTTCCTCCAGCTCTGGTAATCAGGGGAACCTACTTGTGGTGCGTCATCTTTCTTGAAACCACTTGATCTTCTTGGTACTTCATTAAATCTAATTATAGATTTTTAATCCTTGCAATAAATTGTTTTAGTGAGCCAACGATGATACAATCCACTTTTGGATGAGGTGCAGTGGAGCCAAGAATGAACCTACTTGGTAGAAGCTGCAATTCTATGATTTTAATGGATTTAGCAGAGGCTTTCATATATCGTTTATGATATTTCCCCCCTAGATGTGTTTCTATTGTTTGTTTTTTGTTGAGTTTAACTATACTCTAAACCTCTTACTAATAAAAACAAACGTTTGAAAGTGGCGGCTAAGTAGATAAGTGGTTTGAGATTATATTAAGATTATGTTTAGAGTTTGGTAGTGACGAGGGAATCATTAGTATCGAATTGCTATATTTTCTCCTTTAACATTGAGAAGGTGATCTCATTTCTGAACCTCTCTATTTTACATAAATTAATTTAATTATGTTTTAATTTGATTTGAAGCAGTCTATGACGGTTTATCCGTTTGTTTGAGATGTAGATTTCCTCTAGCCCTGACTATCAGGGGAACCTACTTGGAGTTCATCTTTGATGAATCTACTGGATCTACTTAAGACTTCATTTTAATCTTTTATTAATTCATATTATTTTTGTTGGTGATAAATTTACATTATATGGTTTTAATGAGCCAATAATGATATAATCAACTTTTGGATGGGTGCTATGGAGCCAAGGATGAAATTACTTTAAACACAACTAACAAAAGCTTTTCTAAGCTCTTTTTCTCTCGTTTCTTTTCTTACTTGCTTATATTACCCATTCCATTTCAAAACTAAGACTAACGACGAATATAAATAGGGATAGACATGAGTCTCGAATTTGATGGGTTTTGATCTAACCCGAACTAATTGGATTTGGGTGGGATCGGGTTATATTTTTTTAGAGGTTGTATTCTGGTCGGGTTAGGTTCGAGTTTAGAGTGAAAAATACTTGACCGACCTAAGAAAAATATATAATTTTTTTTAGAGATAATTACAATAATGTCTTTTTATATATAACTTGTTGTAATTAAATCAATATTTTTATTGAATAAAAATAATTTTTTAGTAAATATATTATTTTGGGTCAGGTCGTTCAAATTTTAGCTCAAAAATTAAGTTTGGATAGGGTGAAAGGTTTATATTTTTAGACCGGGTTGAGTTTTGTTAAAAGATGTATAATTTTCAGATCAGATCAGATTTTATTCAACTTGACCCGACTCATACACATCCCTACATATTTATATATAGGAGTGGTAAACAGTCAAATGATTGTTGCCATGTCGTGGTAAAATTCTTTAGTTGTTGTCACCTTATCTAAGCTATTGCCCGTTACTTCATGAGTTGTGTTATTTTGTTTGCCATTGACTTTTCAACTAATAAAAATGTCCTTTATTTCCCGCTTCGACACATGTTTATTATTCTATCTTTATTTCTTGCTAAATCAATTTATTGTTGTAAATGCAATAATTTTATTACTTTATTCAACTACATTTATCACGTTTTAAGCTATTTAATTACTAAAACATTGCTTAAGCTACTTCCTGTGTCATTTGTTTTTTTCCCATACAATTCTTGCGGACATTTAAAAATAAAATAAAGTTTGAAATTCTGATTTTAATTGATTCATCCAAGGCTTTCATGTATTGTTTATGAGTTTTTACCTACGTGTTATTATTGTTTATGAATTTACAACACCAGTGTTATTCTTGCTGCTTTCTAATTTTCATGTTTTCATATCACAGTTGGATGTTATTAGCGGAGTCGCTAATAGAATATCACCTTAGGGGTGTGTTTCGTTCATGGAATGTAAGATTACCAGTGAGAATATAAGATTACCAGGGAATAAGATTACTGGAAATGTTGTATTTTGTGTTTGGTTGGTTTAGCAGTAATATAAGATTACCGTGTTTGGTTAAAGGAATAAAAGATTATTGGAATGTATATTTGATCAAATTGTCCTTATTATATATATTTTTTTAACAAGTTGGAAAATATTTATATATTTTAACCCTGAACTTCATATAAAATTTTAATTATAAACTTTTTTTATAAATCTAAAATAGTTTAAGGATAAATTTGTAATTTAACCTTCGTAGAATTTTTATTATTCAATGACAGAAGAATGATATTTTTGAAAAAAATAAAAATTTAAGGGCATTTTAGTCCAAAACACCGGTAATCAAACAATACCTAAGGAAAGAGAGGTAATGGCATTCCCAGTAATATACTCCAAAAAATCTACTATTGGTAATAAAACATTACCGGGAATGAGATTCCCGACCAACCAAACATGGGAATGTGGATTCCATTCCCATGAGAATCTCACATTCCTTGATCTAAACATCCCCTAAGTGATTGTTCAGGGTTTTCATTTTTACGGGACCTCTAATCTCTTCAATTCTATTTTTTTACTTAGATAGTTGAAGTTATTGCTTTTATTAATTTTATTTTTATTTTTATAATTAAAGCTCTTAATTTTTATAATCTCACATTTTTATATTTATAATTAAGCCCATATTTTTTTCAATCCTATTTTTTACTTTTATAATTAGGATCCCTAATTTTTTCAATCTCTTTTTTACTGTTATTAATTAGACTCTTAATTTTCTTCAATACCACTTTTTACCGCTATAATTGAGGTCTTTAGTTTTTTCAATCTCACTTTTATATTTATAATTGAGGTCCTTAGTTTTTTAATCTCACTTTTATATTTATAATTGAGGTCTTTTGTAATACCCCAAAACATCGAGTCAGTGATTAAAGTTTAAGGATTTAAAAGTAAGTGGTTATATTTTAATAAATTGAAAAGTTCAAGGACTAATTTTTGGAATTATTGTTTAGGACTTATTTTCAAATATTGAATGATTGAAGGGCAAAGCGGTATTTTGACAAGAAATGAATTTAAAATTCATTTTTAAGGGTTATTTAACATGTGAGGATTAGAGAAAGGGAAAGAAAAATATGGAACTTCTCTTCTTCCTTTCTCCACCGAGACCCACCATGGCTAAGGTAAGTGATTTTCAAGTTGATTGTTCTTTCGTTTTTGAGTTGATTTTTGGTTTTTGGGTGATATAAAAGCTTAAGAAAGCTTAAAGATAACATAAACCATAGAATTTATGATTTATTGGTGAATTAGTAAAATGGGGTTTTAAGGGATTTTATAAGATTAGTATTTGGATTTCTAATGATATATTTGAATTGTAATAAATGTAAATACGAAATTTGAAGTGTTAGAAAGGATTGAGAACATATTTAAAAATGGGTATGATTTTTAGTTTCAAGAATTCTATTGAGAAATTAGGGTGGTAAAGGGGTTTTAATGGATATAAGTTAGTGGGAATAAGTGTAAATAAGTTTAAAGGCATGAATGGAGTTGGGTAATTTTTTGAAGTGAAATAGATGAATTATGGGTAAGGGTATCGGTACTGGAAGAACAGTACCGATACTATAAGGATAAATTGAAGGAAATTATATGAATTCGATAAACAATATCGATACTGATTAAAGTAGTATCGATACTGATGTGGAGGTATCGATACCATGAGTAAGGTATCAATACTGTAATTGAAAATGAATTCCAGAATGCCAAAATGGTATCAGTACTGAATTAGGTATCGATACCATAGAAGAGAAATATCAGTACTATGGGTAGAGTACCGATACTATTCATCCTGAAATGTTAAGTTAGGTGTTCCATTTTGTTCAAGTAAAAGTTAATTGACTATATGTAATTGAGCTCTGATATCCATGGGTTATATTAATGTGTAGATTTGATTGAAAGCAAGTGTTGAACAAATGGACGTGTAAAGTTAGTAAGCTAAAGTGAAAAGGATGTCTGCTTAGGACTTAAGTGAGGCAAAGATGAGTGCATTCATATTTATGTTTTAAGGTATGGAATGAGGAAGACTTGCGATGAATCAACCTCGGATGATTTGGAAAGAAATTGTTTTCAAATTGTTCTATGTTAAATATATTTTACATTGTTTTGCTAAATGATTTTTTTGAATAAATTTTGGGTATGAATTACTCAATCTATTTTATATGATAAGTTTGTTTTAGTATATGTGAAATATTTCAATTATATTGTTTATAGGAATGATTTTTATAGAGAACAATAAATGATGTTGAACTAAGCCAAGGTATGAATATGTGTTATATGTGAATATATGCTATGTGAAAAGAAGTACTATGAGAATAACTTCCATGTGAATAAATGTTTAAATTGGATAATGCTACGTGAAATTTGTTCTAAGTGAAAATGTCCTACGTGAAATTATCCTATGTGAATAAGATACACTTTGAACAGTGGAATGAAAAAATAATTATAAAGCTAAAGCCCAAATTATATTTTATGAGAATTAGGGGTATAGTTGGCATGCCAAGAGTCGAGGGTTCTACACGGTCATTCGGGACAAATCTATGTGATCCTTCGGG